TGACTGCTATAGGATCAACACATGTGTTATTACATGTTCATTAATTTAAATCGAAATTTTGCCTTTGTTTAGAAAGAAATTCAACAACTTAGACAACCCCTTAAAAGTAAGAATTCGCCTTGGCGTATGAGTAACATTATGGCAATCGTGAAATTACTAATGTGAAAGCTAAACAACATTAAAAAGATACTTATAAAAAATTTATAAATATAACCCTTTTCATTGAATAAACAWGTGACCTTTTTAACTTTATTATTCTGAAGTTAAATGTAAAGGATGTGTGGTAAGCCAATGCGTCGTTATGTGTAAAATAAATATATTTTAAAATTGTTGCCTTCATTAAGGACAATTATCAAGGATTTCGTTTACGTAAACCTTTTTTGCTGGTTGTCATTAATGATCATAGAGCTCTTAAATATTTTGCATTTGTGCTATGGAGACTTCAAGAGGCACCATGTCGTATAAGTAACATTAGTAGTTAATGATRTGGCATTAAGAGAGAAATTAGTTACTGTTTGTATACTTATTTCCATCATTAAAAAATATCTGCCAAACGTGAAAACGACATKTTTTGTTTTTATTATTGTTTCTATAAATATATGTGTTTTTATTTTATGTTTTTTTTTTATTAAATCAGAAAATTTTTTTCTATTTATTGCTGCACTTGGAAGTAAAAAGTGCGGTGCGTTTTTAGCTCAAAAAACCGCGGTAGTTTTTTAAGAAAAAATAGAAAAAAATAATGGAAAAAAAGCTACATCTCCATTACCTGTTGATTTATGTGAAGAAGTACTRTTCTAATGCTCACGAACTTCAAAAATAACGTTTTCGGAAAATCGATTTGAAGTTTTTTATACATCAAAAGTCAGGTATCACGGCCGGTCGGTTAAAACAYTGTAAATCCGTTGGTTTGACTATAATTTACTAACAAATCTGTACACAATATTAACGACATATGCGTCGTTTAGAAAAAAATAAAAAAAAATGCAAAAAGAAACTTAAATCCTTGACATCGTGGCTTTGCCGTTAATTTGGTKGGTTGGTCCGGTTTCACTTATGACTGCTTAAATGTTTTGAAATGCCAGCTTGAGTCACTTCCAAAGGTTCTGCGTGCTGTTTCACAGCATTCTTCAACTTTTTTGTTCAAGTTATGCCATCTATTGACAAACCCAATATATAATGAAAACTTCTGTAGGTATTATTTTATAGTCTTCATAAAAATTATCTAACGATTAATATCGTATGCGCGACAACCATACTTATTTGTGTACTTATGTACGTGTATCTATAAAAAAGTGAAAGTAAAGCAACAATTGTCGTCACTCAATTTAGTTGCCAMGATAAAGCTATTAAATGTCTATCCGCTACTTCTACATTCTAAGCCCTGAGCTGGAAAGAAAGTGTATGTTTATATACAAATGTAYGCGATTATGTACATTATTCATCGTAATTTGATAATTCAGCTATAGTGTCATTTGTCACCGTACTGATAGCTCTGCTTTATTAATAAATAATTCAATTTGAAATTGCTTTATAGCTTTTTTACAGATGCCTGCAGGCTCCTTCTTCACACTACGCCACACTACCCACCCTCATTTCTATTACTTGGTGTTAGGCCACGCGCTAGTCTGCTCAACGCCTAGCCATCGCCTCGATTTCCCGGTAAACTGATTTCCAGCTAAAAGTAAACAATATTTGTTGTGCTCGCACTGTGATCCGCAGCCTGGGATGAGTGCCTATTTATTATCATGTGTCCTTCTACAACTACATCTACATCTCACTAACACCAGTGCCAARCACAAACACCCCTCACAGCCTTGATTGTGTACTGCTGTTTTGGAATGCGACCAGTCCCCGAAGTGGGAGTCACAGTGTGTGACACAAAGTCAACCTCGACGGTGTGGAGCGCGGCGCTTGGTGGACAATGGGAAATGATATGCCAATGAAAAAGACAAATAAGCAGTAGAGCCGATTACATAAACAACGAACTTGCGGCGGAAGGTGTTCGTGTGCGCTGCCGCYATAAATGGCACAACTGTTGCACAATGGAAGGGAGTGGTGGAATGAGTGCGACTAAATATACTACTGCGTGGAAGTGTGCATTTGTGTTGGTATATTTTCGCAGACATTTATTCGTTTACATTGATTTTTATATGGTGAGTCGAAGTGGATCTTAACAAGTTTGCATGGACTGACATTTATTATTTTTATTTCTATTAAATACATATTGACAAACATAAAGTCAAATGGAAATCACTACTTCGCTTGTATTGGCGCTAGAAGAAAGCTTTCGCTGATTACATAAATTCTTGGCAYTATTCAAGCATACTCCAGAACATATTTGTGCTATTTTATAAAGCCAACTCGCATACTGACCGACATATTCGACATAAGCTCTGCCAGACTAATGAAAATCATTACATACGTATCGTCACCTAAAATGCAAAACAATTTATCATCAAAAACATCGAAATTGAAAATTGTATTGCTTTTGATTCACTACAACAGACCTACATGCATAAAATTTGGAGCTTCCACTTGAGGTATGTATAACCATTTATAATAACCAATTCGTAACCAAAACTAATATTTTGTTTTAGTATGAATGCTTTCCATCATATCGTTTTCCTTCACAATACACTTATGAACAGGTATGGTATATGAGGTATATATAACCAATATATAACCATTTAAAGTAACCAACCAAAACTAAAATTTTGTTTCAATAACAGTGATTTCTATTATATTATTTTGCCTTCGCAGTATATGAAAGACTAAGTGTTGTAATACCGGTGGCTCTTTTCTCAAGGGACTGCATTACCAAAAGGATACACTTCACCAAGCCATTCAAGGTTAGAATTTAATGGTTGAAATGAATCCACTCTCGAGCTATTGCAAGAAATGTATAGTTATACTCAGCGACACCTACGATATCAAATCTCTATTGGTGCAGGATTGTAGAGACAATCTAAACAGTCTACCGGAACGTAACTAAGTTCACCTTATCTGGGTGCCCGGTCTCAAATGTATAGCCGGTAAAAAACTGGCTGATGAACTCGCCCGCTCAGCAGCATCCACTAATATGGAACCCTTCACCACCGTGGGTCCTGATACCCTAAAGGAGCTGATTCGCAAATAAGAAGAAGTAGGCAGGGAGAGGCATTAGCAACAACTTCAAGCCATGCTATGTTGATAATGGCGGGTTACAACCTCAGCAATGTAATCAATCTCTTTAGAGACAAACTCAGGCTACTTGTCGCGTTATATACAGCGGTCACTGTAAGCTCAAGAAGCACTTACATAACATAGGCTTAGCTACTTGTGAAAATTGCCGGTTCTGCGACAGGAAGCCTGAAACTTCAGAACACCTGGTAATTGACATGTATTGTTTCGCCTCATTAGCATCTAGCAGCATATTGGAATTTATCAATATGCTGGGRCTAAGTGGGTCGTTGGACTTAGGAGGCGCGCAATATATCTTAGGTCGCGGTGTAATCCTTTTCTATTTATCCTATCTTATTTTATTCAATGCAGAAAAATATATTTCTTTGTACGCTTAGTGTTTACCTTCATAAAGCAATTTCATCTTTTATATAATACATTCATCTCACTCTACTTCTGGTACAYA